TCACCTCCAGCACCACCAATGCGGTGAGTACAGAGGATTCAACTACCCCGCCTTTTTTTCTCTCCATCCAGGCTCTCTGCAAGAGAAATCTAAGTGAGCTAGTCCTCATAGCTGGGGAGGGTATGGCTGGCGACTCAGTCTTAGCTCTCTGTGCCCGGAGTGTCTAGGGTAAGTCTGTTCACCCAGGCCATAGATCTGTCCTCTCTGGGAAGTTGCAGTGCCCCGAAGTGGTAAGGCTATAGGCCTGTGGGGACTGAGGCCTTCTGCCCCTCTTTGTATTTTTATTTAATACTCACAAAGTTCTGTTCATCCTACTTTTTTTTTTCTTACAGTTTCTGAAAGAAGGACCAAATTCATGCCAAGAACACCCAGATGAAGAGGACCTTCCTGGAGCTGTAACTGGGATTAACCAATTCTTTAAGAGAAAGTTGCAATGAATTCTGAGGATAAAGCCAAATGGGCTCCTGACTGTTCCTTGAGTACTGACAGCGTAAACAAGCTTCTGGCTCCTCCAGGTCAAGAGAGAAACACTTTTCATTAGGATGTTGGGTTTCTTCTTTGTTATTCAAACATACACCCACACATATCCTCTTCACCCTCCCTAATGAAAAACCTCAGCAGATGGAGAGCCTAAGCTCCCAAGACTTATGGCTGAGGAGATGCACTTCACTCAAGGGTGGGTTGGCTGGTGCAGAATGGGGGAGGGAGAAATGAATAGCTAGGGTAGGTAATCACTATCTTTTAATACTCCTTACAGATAGAAATTCGAAAAATCCTGTTCAGCAAGGTTAGCAGCCTCTGGGGCCTAGGAAACCAATTTGGCTGATGTGTCTGTGATAGGGACTAGGCCTGCGGCTGCACCAGGGGGAAAGTACTCACTCTATATTCTCTCTCTCTCTCTCTCTCTCTCTCTCTCTCATTTGAAAGCCTGTACAAAGAAATGGTACAAATGGATGGTTAACTTAATGATTCATCAGAGGCGGATTTTTCTCTGTCAGGTCCCTGGATGAGGCTGAGGTCTGAAAGCCAGGAGGCAGAACATTTACTTAATCGCCCTTTCTTACCACCTTTCCAGGGGCCAGGACTACTCTTCAGACGTTTCCTCTGCAACTGCCCCACACCACTGGCTGGCTCAGTTGGGTCTCTTTACTCCACTCCAGGCTGGAAGTTTCTCCTGGAAGCCAGGGCAAGCTCTCCCTCTGCCTAAATCTCTTTCCCCACCCACACCTCCTAGTCAGCAGTGGGCCCTTTGGGTAGCCTCCTCTCCACCCTGCTTTAATTCACGTTTGATTGCCTGGACAGAACAACCGGGGGCTCCCAAACGGCTGCTACCCCCATCCATGGGCCTGGGTTGTTGACTCTGAGCCCTTTCTTCAAGCCTCAGGGGGATCCCCCACAACCTCCCTGACCCCTCCCCTTCCCCCACTTCACTCTTCAGGGGTCTCTGTAGGAAAAAAATAAAAAAGAGCTGATCAAGGCCTGAGCCAAAGAGCCACTTCCTCTCCTGGAGCAGCAAACGAGGTACACCTCCCAGAGACCAAGGCTCAAAGCCGGCCCAGCCCTTCCTCAGCGCCAGGCGCAGGCCCAGCGGTGCCATTGTGAGGCCTTACCCGACGCCGAGCCCCTGGGGAAGCCTCGCACACAAAGGCACAGGGCTCCCGGAAGTCCTGGCTGCTGCGAGCGCCCGCAACCCCGCGCCGGACAGTGAGGGGCCAGCAGCCTCGAGGCCTTGGTGCGTTCACCATTGCCTCCGGTGAGCCTGTCTCGGGCCCAAGTCACGGGCTAGGCTGGAGGTTTCCTTCTCCTGCCAACTTGCCCCTTCCCGCTGCAAGTCACACACTCTCCCACTTCCCCGGGGATGGAGAGGCCTGGGCTCAGGGCGCCATTGCCCAGTCCAGGCTCCCCTCCCCCACTCTCTCCTTTCTCTGCTTCTCGGAGATCGGGGAGGGAGGAGGCGGGTGCCTCCGCCAATAGAGCTGCTATTGTGACCTTCCCTCGCGTAGCGGGAACCCAACCGAGAGTGTACCGCCGGCGGGGGAGGAGGCGACTGTGTGTGCAGACCTCGGGGTGCGGAGGGGGTGGGACTGGGAAATAAATAAAGGTTTGCAACCTTGGGCAGTTGGGCCCTTCAGAGGGCGTTTGGTTGTGTTTAGACTCCAGTGCTTCCTAACACTAATTGCAGGCTCAAAAGGAGCAGAATTTATGGCGAAGGCCAAGGCGGCTTGTTTATAATTTATGAAGTTTTAAATGGCTGTGCCGCAGACCCCCCTCTCGCCCTGGCTGTTGGCCGTGCGGGAAGCGCCAACCCAGACTCACCACAGGCCCCCCCCCCCCCCCCCCCCGGGGGCCGCCCCCGGGGCCCCCCCCCCCCCCCCCCCCCCCTCCCCCCCCCCCCCCCCCCCGGGGGAGCGACCTAGTGTGCCCATCACATGACACTCAGGCCAATGGCACGAAAGAATCCGAGCTATTCTCAGAAGCCTCGGGGAACCTTTCTCCAAAGGTGTGAGAAAGCCGATTTGTCCAAAGCGAACTCCCCCACCCCACGAGAGAGGGGCGCCTCCGGGCCCCCAACCCCGCACTTCTTTGGAGCCTCGGTGTGAGACGAAGCTGATGTCAGCCGGCCCAGACACCGTTTAAAGTCTAATCCATGAAACCCTAAGCCACAGATGACACTTGGGGCCTTCGCAGACACCCGCAGACTCAGCAGATACTCCTGCGGTAACACACCGAGCTGGAAAACGCCTGGAGCCATAATGCATTATGTATTTTTATTATTATTTATGGTAGGAAGAGGAGATGAGGGAAAACCGGGCTGAATCTAAACAGCCTGATAATTCATCTATTTAATATTTAGCCAGTTAAGAAAGGTTGTTGTAATCCCTGCAAGGCAGCAAGCTCTTCTTTGACTTCCCTAATAGCTTAAAAAATAATTTCTTACAAGACAATTAGAAATTCTGCCTATGGATGCAAATCTCATAGAAAACAATTTTAAGCCTTGAAAGTGGGTAAAATATCCCTTCAGTTGAAGTCATTTATTCTGTTGATACACTTCTACAACATGGATACTCTAAACCTGCTCAGATAAAGTGAAATTGAGCAAAAGAATAGTCCCCTCCCACCCCCAATCTAACATGCCATTTTAAAAACAGCACAAAGGAACAAGGAAACTAAATATTATTTGAGCCATCATTTAGCGAAACACAAACATCCAAATAGAAACGATTGTTGTTCCACCAGAAGATTAGAAGTTAAATTATTTGCACACAATGGGAATTTCACCTCGTGTCACCGGGGGATGTAGTAGGAGTTGCATTATTTGTCAAACCGAATAGAGATGCGTGGGCCGACGTTGCTGAAATACAAAAGAATCGAACCTTATCTGAAGGCGCTTTCCAAGTGTCTCCTTATAGAGAAGTGGGTGGACGTTGTCCGCCCCTGGCTAAAGCCATGCTAATATTTACAAAATGGATATAAACCTTTGAAGACATTTTTGCCCGTTTTGTACAAAGAAACAGGAATAAACAAGGTGTTTATACTTGTTATGTTCCATTAATGAAACTTTTATTACTTTGCATCGTGGGGCAACGTTTGTTTACTTTAGAAATGAACCACCAACCATTAAAAAGGAAAAAGTCCTGACAGCATTTCCTAGAGAAAAAGCTTAGGTGCGTGTCTCCAAATGCCTGTTTCTTTTTGTGCACCTTAGCTTTTTCATAGCTCAGATCTTCCTACAACTTCACTTGTGTCTTTTCTTTGATTGTCAGTTTTCTTTTAAAGTTTATTTTGTTATTAGCGCAGAAAAGTGAGCGCTGGCCTCCCCAATTTAAATGCAATCTAAAAAAAGTCGATTTGTGTCTAAAAAGAGGGTGATGGAAACAGCACAGCAGGCAGAGCACAAAGCCCTACCCAAATTACCCCATCCAGGATGTTTCTAGGCTTGCATCCTCAGATTCCCACCCCCGCCCCAACCCTCAGGTCAATGCTGCAGTGTAATCAAGTATCCCCAGAACCAGCTCGTGTACCAGATTCCAAATAAATGGAAAAATATATATATATATCAAAGAGTCAGCCTATTGGGGGGCCTTCTACTGGGATTGTGCGAAAGATAAAAGGCAGAGTAATCTACTTCCAAGTGTGCGTGATTAACACAGATACACTTCGGACTGAGAAATTTTTTTATTCTAAATATTTGTTCAAATAGTACCAGACAATTTGAAATCAATAAACTGTGTAGAGTGGTGAGGGCTGCGGCTGTTCAGAAATGAGTAACTGGTGCGGTGCCACGCCGCGGGGCCGCCTGACTCTACCCATGAAGGACAATTTGCGGTCTTAATCCTTTACATCAACTACAAACACCAGCCACGGTTACAACTGTTCAAAAACTACTCTCTCAACTAGTTCAGACCAAGGGGACTAAAGAGGTGAAACGTGGCCCCCGCGGCCTGGGAGCGCGTTCCTAAGCTTGGCTGGAGAATTCTACAAATATACACATAAATACATTAAGACGAGGATAAATAATCAGGGAAACGAAATGACTCGCTTCAAATAATAAATACAGATCGTTGAGTCCGTTGCAATCCTTACGGGACGGGAAGGAGCATATAAATTAAGGTCTCCGCGACTAAGCTAGACTCGGGCCAGGCCCGGGGCTGTCCCGGCGCTGGTCCCTCTGCAGAGCGCGCCGCTGATGGATCTCAGACTTACCTTCGGGACACCATTTACCAGATTAGAGTCCCTCGGTCCGCAGTATATGGCACTGTCAGGGTTACAGAGGAGAATCCGTGCGGCTGATTTATGGCGAGTCACCCAAAGGAGGGCGCGCCTGGAGGAGAGGCCCAGTCGCCTGCGTCTCGGCCGCTGTTGGCCCGAGACCCGGGAGGCGGCGACCGGGCCAGGGCGAGGGAGGGGGGTCACCGAGCTGCCCCGCGGGCCCCGCCCGCCACCCCCGCCACCAAAGCAAAAGAGGTAATCGCGCCGCGAGTTCCGGCCGGCGGCGGCCGCTACAGATGCGTCAGTTTGGGGGCCTCGGGCAGGCGTCCCTGAGACGAGTGGTGGGCCGAGAGATCGGTGTAGGTGGGATGAGGGTCGCACGGTCCATGGTGATGGTTGCCGGGAATCTGCGCGGCGCAGCTGTAGTCCACGCTGGCCGAAGACGGGTGCGAGAGGTGGCCCAGGTTGAAGACCGGCCCGGACGCGGGCGCCATGGAGTCGACGAAGTTGCCACCCACGTACACCGGGCTGCCCTGCAGGTTGGCGCTGGCGAAGCCGCCGCCGTTGCTGGCCATGGGGTGGGGCTCGAACTCGGGCGCCGCGTAGCGCTTCTGCTGTGGCAGGCAGCTGCTGAGCGGCGCCGTGTAGGCGGCCAGGCCGTACATGTTGGGCTGAGATTTGGCGAAGGCGGGCGGCGAGGGCGCGTCGTAGGCCAGGCCGGGCACGGGCGGGAGCTGGCCGGAGTAGGCCACGTGGCCGGCGGCGCTGCCCAGCGGCGGGCTGCGCTCCGGAGACTGACCTGCCGGCGAATGCAGGATGCCCTTGGCCTTCTGGTCCTTCTTGTACTTCATGCGCCGGTTCTGGAACCAGATCTTGATCTGGCGCTCCGTGAGGTTCAGCAGGTTGGCCATCTCCACGCGGCGCGGCCGGCACAAGTAGCGGTTGAAGTGGAATTCCTTCTCCAGCTCCACCAGCTGTGCACTGGTGTATGCCGTGCGCACCCGCTTGGACGCCGGGCCCGGCGGGCTCTTATCCTCGCAGCTCTCTCCTGGGCAGGAAGGGAGATAGAGGAGATGCTGAGCGGGAGGGGGGGTTGGGCACCCAGGGCCGGAGCAGGGTGCTTCCCTGGCTCCCTTTTCTTCTTCTATCCCTCCCCCAACCTTAATGCTGGCTGGCTGGAGTGGGGGAGGGGGTCGTCTGAGAGGTGAGACTCCTAGCGGGACCTCACACGCCCCTGTCCTACCTATGAGTTGCACCTGAACCCCCTCCCCCCAATCTGCCTTCTGAGGTCCGATTCACTCTGCCATCTCCTCCCCTCCAGCCTAGTCCATCATCCTGTCCCTAAGGCTAAGGCTGTGGAGGAGTTTAATGAGAGCTGTAGCAGCTCTAGTAGTAGCAGCTGGTAAGGCCTAGCCCCCACTCCCAGCCCCCATTAAAGAAGGGCCAGACTTCTTTGAACACTCTTCCCAACCTCTGCTGGGGGGTTAGGGAGGAAGGCACCCTCCTCCGCCCCCTTGCTCTGGGACTGGCTCCTGGGCAAAGCACTCCAGGAAGCACAGAATGAGGGTGGAGATATGGGCACCTCACTCCAGCTCAGCTGCACTGAAGGGCTCTGCACCCCAACTCAGGGAACTAATAAACCATAAAAATACCACCCCACAGTTTCCGGGGCTCCAAGGCCAGCCTGGGTGCATTTTGAGTATTTCAGGGCTAGGACAGCAGTCTCAACCTGGGTTTCCATTACCCCCCTCCCTCAGCAGCTTGTTCCTCCCTCCCTGGTTGTACAAATGGATTTCTCCTGGGAAGGAGGGGCCGGGCTTGTAGCTGGGAAGGAGGGGCGGAAGAAGCTTACAAGCTAGAAGGCACTTTCCCCCTAGGAGCTGCAGCCCCAGAGAGATCCTGGCTAACCAGAGACTTGATAGCAAGCTAGCTACATCCGAGACCTCAAACTAGCCCTAGACTTGGAACCAAATTCATCTACCTGAAGATAAAATGCATCAAAGGACACAAGGCCAGAAAATTTTAGGAGCCAAGCAAAGCTGAGTGAAAAGAGGCAGCAGGCTTTAGAGCTCCTGGGCCTGCCCATCTTCTTCCACATATCCTGAATGGATCCACAGAAGATCTCAACTCTAGGATCTCCCTTTTCAGGAAGAGAACCTCAAGGCTGCTCCCATTTCAGAGCACTTCCTTTTCCCCTGGGATATGCCCCTTCCCGTTATGGATTTGCTGGGATGGGGAGAACTGGGCTGGGGTAGACCAACTAGAGATCATGGCTAGGTCTTGGAGGCTCTGGTTGGATTCAAGTGTGCCATTCTATGGCTTTGAGATCTTGGGCAACTCACAGTTTCCTTATCTGTAAAATGTAGCTGTTATCATATACCTACCTCAAAAGGGTTTTTTTGAAAATTAAATTAGATAATGCTTATAAAGCATTTAACCTGGTTGTTAACATGGAACCAGACTAGCACTCCACAGACTTTGGTTTTTGTTAATTAAAGGGAGTGGGATTCCTGTGATATAGGCTACATAAGAACCCATGCTTGGAGAATCATAATACCTGACTTCAAGTTTTGAGGAGCCGTCAGACGGAAGAAGGAGCTAAGTCATGACCAGCAGCCCAAGAAAGCAGATAGAAGGTCAATATAAGAAAAAGGCCACCTAGTCATAACTGTGGGAGTTGTCCAGCAATGGCACCAGCAGCCTGGAATGGAGTGCCCTGTCCCTGTAAGGGCATGGCTCCAATCGGGGACACTAAGAAGAAAGGCCATTTCTGCATGAGTACAAGTGTAGACCTATGGCCTCCAAAGCTGCACTTGCAGCCCCAAGTCTCTTGCTTCCTAGGTGAGCTAGCTTCTTGGGGTCATTCTGGGGGACTTAGCCTAGGAGGAGCCCCTTCAGAGAGCTACCTGCAGTGGCACAGCTGTTCTTCTGCTTGGAGTTCTGTCGGGACTCTTTCATCCAGGGGAAGATCTGCTTGCTGATGGTGGCTGAGGAGCCAGAAGCATTGGGCCCACCCTTGGCCTTCTTGGCAGGCACTCCTCCTCCAGGATTGGTGGGCGAGGATGGGGGCAGGGTTGGTGGTGGAGGAGGGGGTTGTGGTGGTTGTTGCTCTGAGTTCAGGCCAGGAGGCTGGCTACCACCACCCCCACCCTGGCTGTTCCCAGTGCCAGGCCTCATACAGCTGCCATTGAGTTCAGTTCCTTTGTGGGCTGGGGCTCTCAGAGGTGCGGAACTCTGGATGGAACAGGCTGAGCCCGGGTAATCAGTGTCCAAGGAGCTGGCAGCAGCAGGGGGTGGGTAAGGCTGATGGGGGGTGCCATAGCCATAGGTGTCCTTGCTGTAGCCATAGCCTCCAAAGAGTCCTGGGTTTTCATAGTAAGCAGCCTTCTGCATTGTGCACTCAGGAAGTTCCAGGGCCTGCTGACCCAGCTCAAATAACATTGACCAACACTGTCTCTTTCACTTCCGAGGTCTGCCGAACCCTGAAAGGGCTGGGGTAGCCCCAGGCTCCAGGTGACCTGTGAAGAAGAAAAGTGAAAGGCCCCAGAGGGAGTGTAACTGACAAGATAGTCAATATAGAAGGACCAGCTAGCCTGTGCTCTCCTCTGCCTACCCACTTCCTAGGGGGAGGATCTGAGATTTTATGAAGTTCAGCTTATTTGAACCTTGCAAAAGTCAGAATGAATTTCTCATAAACATAAGGAAAGACCTTTCCTTCTCTTGAGCTGAATTCTATCCAAGAGACGGGGCTTCCTCCCCATCCAGAAACTATTTTCTTTCTTCAAGATCGTCAATTTAGCTTTTGAAATGGCATAGAAAAGCACTTATGGCCTCATACATTTTAATGGCTGAGTCTCCCGCTGGACTTCGAGCTCCTTGCAGGCAAGGACTGTGTCTTATTCATCTATATATTCCTAACACCCAGCCCAGTGCCCTGTCTGTAGTAAGTGCAGTAAATGCTTGTTGAATGAGTGAATGTATGGGTCAATCAGTCAATCATTGGGACACCCGAGGGTGTTGATGAAAAAAGAAAGCTCTATAACACACTCAGAACAGCCAGAACTCTCAAAAAAAAAAAAAAAAAAAAAAAGAAGGAAAGAAAGAAAGAAAGAAAAAGAAAAGGGGGAAAAAAAAAAAGGAAGAAGAAGAGGAGGAGGGGGAAGAAGAAGAAGAAAAAGTATCTCCCCCACCTGATTTCAAAATCACAGCATCTTTCATGAAGACCCAGATAGTCCACTTTCTGGTGACAGGGTGAGAATCCGCCCAGTGAACTCTGTGGGTCAGCCCTGTGAAATGGACTAGGAGATAAAAACCAAGAACACTTAGACTCCCAAACTTATTTTGAGGTTAGAAAATGTTTCTTCTCTTTCATCTACATTTTTCTAGTCTTTACTTTGTCCTCTACTACTTTTAAATGGATACTGGAAAGGGTGAAGAGGTTTAGAATTTGAAATGCATGGAGCATGAGAGAACATAGGATGCTTTATAATATAACTATATCACTTTTATCTTGCATCTATTGTGTAAATATAAATTATTATTGACCTCTGCTCTGGATCCTCCACAGCAGCCCAACTCCGCCCACTCCCCAACCAATGAGAGAACTTCTCATGCCATGATGAATGGACCCAGAATTAGAAGAAGAAGAAAAAAACCTAAGAAAAATTCTATCCCTTTTGTGTCCTCTGATTCTTAAGAAGGGTTTCCTTCTTAAGGAAGTTTCTTAAGAAGACTTCTTAAGAAGTCTCAGAAGGGTTTCCCTTCTCACCCACTCCACCCCCTTCTCCAGACTCCTAAGGAGTTAAAGTATAACTAATACCATTCAACCACTTTTGTCTGCTTGATAAAGAAAACTCATAGGTCAGCTCCCTGGTCTTCATTCTTGATCTCCTCTTTCAGGCACCTTTCCTTCCTCAAAACCCCAGGCTTCCATCATGGTCATCATGATGGACCACATTGTCTAGACAACTTATGTGGCCTAATGGATTTGACCACTGGGATCAAAACCACTCCTCCATTCACTCACTTCTCCTCCACTTTCACCAAAGAGCCCAATTTTTAAAATTCTTCATATTAGCCTTTGTTTGGTAGTATTGTTGCCCTTTTTGTTTTAAAATATAAGGGAATCTGGCATTTATCTTATAGAGACACAGGCCTTTTTCAATGGGATAACAGAATACTAGGATGTGTTTTAGGAATTATTTCTTTTATTGTTCTTAAATGTATTCAGTTAAGATATCTACTTAGCAAAGCTGGTCTTAATCTTTCTTTCATTCATTTTCTTGATCATCCTCTGACTATTAAAGTTACTGAATATCAAATGGAAAGTTACATCCCCATCGTGTGACTAGTATTGATGTGTTTGCCCCCAAGCCAAAGAACCGGGTATTCCAGCTTTGTTTCTGGACTTTTCTTGGATCCCGGTTCCAGTCTTAATCCGTGGGCTCTCCAGATGTCAAAATGGTCACATCTGACACTCAGACCACCAGAACTCACTGCTGCTTCTGTCATTTCATTTACAACTGTGGAAGCAAAATTCATGCCCCCCCCCACTCTTCCTCCCAGGTTGACCAAGTTTATCTCAATAGGGGGACAAATCACATTAAAGTAGCTTCTTTGGCTACTGACCAGGTCTTTGAAACAGATGGCTTTACATATATATTTGTTCCTATGGCATATTCCTGAAGAAGCTCTGTGTACTGGGCCTTAAAAGTGTAAATACTTGGCAGCTTCATGAATAACCTCAGCGCCTGTTCTCCTGCATCTGTTTTCATTGTCTTAAGGAATTTCAAGGCCTATTTGATGACACCCCAATGTCTATTGCCCCAGAAGCGAGGGGAGCAGCCTTCTCCTCACCAGGAAGGGCTTTGCAGCCTTCCCCCACATCCATATTATAATGTCCCAAAGAAACCAACTGTCCTAAAACAGAACCCAAGAATATTGTTACAAAATTGGTTTAAAAAAAAAAAAAAAAAAGGCTTATTTCTTTCCAGAAATCCCTACTCCTTGTGAACTCTGCTTGAACCTAAAAAGCAGGAATGGGTCATAAATCACTTGGACAATGGTCAACTGTTCAGTGGCTCATCTTTTTGATCACCCCCCCCCACCTTTTTTTAAAGGCTTTCTTTTTTTTCGCCCTTTGGTACCTCTGCTCATTTTTGCTCCGAGACCCAAATGCCTTGGGTCTAGCCCCTGTAGGGGGAGGGGTGGTCTGCGAAGTCCTCGCTGCCCTTTTCTCTCATTCCTCCTCCCCTCAACCCCCGGGGCTCCGGCCGGGGCAGCCTCCCCAGAACCCCACGACACAACCCCTGGCCCCTTCTAGGGTAGGGGCACTAAACGGGATCTGGCTCGACCTTTCTCGCGGTCCCGGGAGGTTGCCCAACTCAGCTCAGAGGCCCAACCGCAGGCTGGGAGTGCAGGGCCGAAGGGTCCCCAGCCAGAAGGAAGGCGGCCTCAAAGCGACCACCCCCGGCCGCCTGGGCCGCGCTGGACCGCCGCACCCGCCGAGCGTCTGAAGCCGCCGAACCCTGATACTTCCTCACTGCACTTAATTCTGCCCAGGATCAATACCTAATATGATACCGAATAAATAAAAGGCGCTCACAGCGGCCAGGGGACGGGGTTATTAAGCAGCTGGAGCTCTCACGGTGCATATCAATGCACCTGTCATTGTGGTTTGTAACAAAATTTATGACTGCAAGCAAGGCGGCAGTAAACGCTTCAGTAAGGAATGAAAAGAAAAACACTTCCCAAGGCCCGGCACTTTTCAGAAGTGGAAAACAGGCTCCGCGTAGGAGGAAGAGCAGCAAAAGAATTCGCTGCTCCGCACTTTGGCGGGCCCCGCGCCCCGCGAGCAGCGGGACTATATAAAGTGGCCATTGCCCGCCACTCGGAGCAGCTCTGCCGGGCGGCCGGACGCGGGACGGGACGCGCGCTGCCTCGCCGGGGGCGGAAGACCTGCTGCCCGCCGCTGCCTGGGGAAGCCGGGAGGCTCGCTGGATGCGAGGAGGCCCGCCGGGCGCGCGCTCGCCCGCCGGGGCCGTGAACACACCGAAGGGCTTGGGGAGGGAAGGGGCGGCAGTCGCCGGGCTGGGACTTGATCGGTGGTCGTAGTAAATTACGGATTGGTAGAGTCAGGGCAAGTTGAAAGAGAAGGGGGAGGCGATGGTTTGCCGGTTGTTTCTGTTGTCTCAAATGTTTCTAAGGTTCCAGTTGGCCTTGGCTCCTCTCCCTGTTTCTTCCTAAACCAGGGCCTCGGAAGCCCACAGATCTCTTTTTGGCGGACCAGACTCTTGCTGGGCATCCCCGTTAATTCGCTGGAACATGGCAACGATTCTCGCTCCCTGTTGGCTTGCTACTTCGGGATTCCGAAACCACCCCTTTTCGGGGTTGCTCCGTGGGGATATATTTGCTGCAGAGCTGGGATAGCTTTCTGCCCGAGGTCTTCCCGGCTCTCAGCCTGAGCCTCTTCTGCCCTATGGGAAGCCCTGAGCGCGCCTTCTAAATCATTCTTATTTAGCCCAGATAACTCAATACGTAATACACCCTGCATTTAAAGCACTGGGTTCACCCCATTAAAGGACCATAAATTTGAAGGCCGATGATCGGTTATCATGTAACGGGCCGCAGTTCACACTGAGGTGATCCACTTCAAAGCCGCCCTTTGTTTTATGTCTTGATGTATGAATCCTGAGATGGCTACCTTGAGTTGTAGGACAGATGGAAATGTAGTGGAAATTATTTTTTTTTAAATCACACTACTCACCACAATTGTGTGTGTGTGTGTGTGTGTGTGTGTGTGTTCTCAAATTTTGTCGGTAACTCTTTTTAGGTTCTTCAGGTTCCTTTTGATATTCTGTGGAGGCAGATCTGGAACAAAATGGAAAACTCTCAGTGGCAGTTGCTTCTTTCTTACCCAAACACGTTGAGAGGCTTTACCCCTTTTAAGGGTGTCTTAATCAATGTGACTATTGTATATGTGGCCCGCAGTCATTCCAGGCGCCTTTTCCCAGGCAGAAAGGAGACTTGGTTGGCTTCTAGAGAGTGAGTGGACTTTAACACAAAGTCTTTGGCGGGATGAGGGAAGGAAGAGCTCTGACCTGAGGAAAATGCCAGACCCTCAGGCAGGGGATGGGATAAGTGAGTCAAAGGCACAAGGGGAATTAGTTCTCTCCTCCTGCTTCAACCAGGCTCTAAGTAAGCCAGATGCCCTAATCCCCCAGGCCAAGCCCACCCTCCTAGGAGTGAAAGAGAACTTGCAGAATTAGGGCGGGAGGAAGGCTAAAGAATAGGGCCCCAGAAAGAAGAGGAGGAATATGTGGATGGGCCTGGGTAGGTCCTAGTCAATGGCTGTCCTACTCAGCCCCAGTGGAAAGGGAGCTGGGCGCTATTTCCTGGTTTGTACATTGTATCTTGAATGGTTCCCCTGAATTTATTTTATTACAGTAGGTACCCACTATATTCCTGGCCTGGGCTGCTCACCCACTCCTGGGTAGGGATTAGGCTGCAAACCATCCAAGAAACAAACATCCCTTCCACCTTCACCCAGAAGCAGACCCAAGCTGCCCACCACTGTGGGTGCCTAACGGGTGCCCGTTCAGGTCAGGCCAAAGGAGAGACACAATCCCCCCTCTTGCATCTGCCCTGTGCAATTTGTCGACTCAGTAGTTTGCAAACACTAAACCACGCAGGAGAAAGCCCCACACAAAGCGATCCGGTCCCTTCTAAAGACCAGAGCACGAAGCCATAAGCCTTTGAAGTGACCTTTGGCTCACACGGCAATAACTCACCCCTTAATGAACACCCAACGGAAGCGCCTCAGAGAGATCCCGGCCCGGTAGGGCTCCTAATATTGCGCCGGGGCTTGAGCTTCCAAGCCAGTCTCAGGCCCAGGGGGCGGCCCGGAGGGCTGTGCAGCAGGGGCACACTTTACCCAGGTCCTAGAACCTGACTGGTGGGCCCCGAAGCCACTTTATATGATACATTCATGGGAACGGATATCAACTTTTGCCACTTGACTGTTTTATTTTATTTTATTTTATTTTATTTTAAAAAGAGGGTTCTTTGAAAGTAGGATCTTCCCCTCAGAAGAGAGCTAAATTGGGAGGCCACCAGGGTCAGCCCCGTGCTGCCTATAGCTTTTCTTTTCCCAGCCATGGAGGAACAGGGTAAGTGTGCTCCTGGGTGCTCTGGGATGCCCCGTGCACCCTGTGCTCTGGTGCAGGAGGCTTGGGAAGGGAAAAAGAAAAAGGACCCCAAGGGGGACAAAGTTGAGCCACCCAGAGTCCCCGATACCTTCTCATGCTTTCCCTGCTCAGCCCACCCACCATCCAGCCCAGGCCCAACATCAGCCTCCTGCTTGCCCAGAATCACAGGCTGAACCTGGCTGGCTCTGGTCCACCAGCTCAAGTACCCTTTCCACAGCCAGAAACTGGGGGAGCAGGAGGTAGCCCTATCTGTGAGCTGTCAGTGAAGAGCTGGTCTGAGGCAGACCCGGCCCTATACCCCCCCCCCCCCCACCCCCCCCCCCCCCCCCCCGAAAAGTCTTTAGGATAGGGAGCCTTGGTGCGGATTATTGAAATTTTCGGGGAAGTTATAAGTGAGTGCTCCATGGGGCCAAATGAAATGCTGCTCGCAGTAATTGGATTCAGCTGACTAAGTTGGCAGGCGCGCCGCTCCAAGGCAGCAGGCGAAGAAAAATGTCCAGCGACTTTAAGTTCTGATGGAGCCAAGAGCAGGCGATTGACAAAACAACTTTCCTCCTCTCCTTTGACGGCGATGCCCTTAGAAGTCAGTCCCTCTCTAGCTGGAGCCTGTCCCCACTTAGGCTAAAGGTTTACTCCTTGCTTTTTGGGACCCTTCCCTACAGAGGCCCAGTCTGGCCCGGCTGTGTGGCATTCTTCTGAGCCCGGAGCTGCTCACTTGGACTCATGGAGCTGCTAACTTGGGCTTTGGACCCGGGAAAAACCCCAGGATGAATTGTTCTGTCCTCCTCCAGCCAGGAGCCACAGGATCCAGTAAACAAAAGGATGCGAGGAATTTAGAAGCCAAAATACGATTTAGCTTTCATCCTAGGTTCTTCGGGGAGAAGAACTCAGGAACCCTGAATCTTTTCTCTGACACAACGGAAGTCAAAACCTAGATTAGTGAGGGGGCATGTGGAGGAGCCTCTCAAACTCTTCTGAATAGTTTGGGGGTTCTCTTGAATTTGGGGGAGAAAGCCTGAGTAGCACTTTAACCTCTAAAGGAAAAAAATATTAAGCCAGCAGCAAGAGATAAAGGCGTGCGTATGTGGAGCTAGCTCCCAGAACAATGCAGGGAGCTGGCTGGTCACAGAGTTTATTTTAAATACATATAAATCAACCTGCCTGTGCCCAGCCAGGCAGCCCAAGACACGGAATTAATATGACGCTCCATCTTACTTTGGCAGTGACAGTGTAAAAAAGTTTCTTTTTATTCATTTCATTTTCCAGCCCATTCTCGTAACTGCACATTTACCCCCAAAATACTTCCTCCAGCCCCTGACCCCTTCGCCCACCCTCTCCTCAAACTGTCACCTCCTCCCTCTCCAACCCTACCATCAGCCACCCCCCAAGCCTGGCAAAGTAGTGTGTCCTCCTAACCTTTGGGTAGGCGGGGAGCACCCCCACAAAGCGCATCTCTTTACGATTAATCACCGTCCTCGATGTATATGTAGAAGTGTATCTAGGTCTACGCGGACTGCCTCACCAATTGGCAATAATCAAGATCACAGATTACACAAAATAAATCATATTTAGTATCCCATTCAGGGCAGCAAGCAGCCCGGTGCCCGAAGATTTCCATTTTGTCATGCAATTGCTTACCTGGATCCCAATTTATCATAAACCTGGTGTCCTCGGCCTCAGAGGGGGCGCCAGTGGGGGGCAGAGCTAGCCTTCCCCCTTTGTCTGCAGACAACACTGTCCCAACCCTGGTCTTGCGCGCTCGCAGACGCGGCCATATACCCGAGCACACAGAATTCCCGGTAGAACGGAACCAGGCTGAGGTTCAACTACCAATAAACGCAGGAGGAACGAGTTCGTAGTCCCCGAGCTGGCTTCGCCCGCGCTGCGCGCCCGTCGGTCCACCCGCCCGCCTGTCCGCTCCCAGGCCCAGAGCGGCGGCCACCCGAGCCCCCACCCTCTCCTGGGTTCCTGCCCAGCCCTCCCAGACCCCCCAGAGCTCGGGGTTTGTTTTGCTTTCGGAATGTGGCCCTTTCTGGATTTGGAGAGAGCCCCGGAAACCCCCTCATAGTCGGGAAATACAGACGCTGCCTTCAAATGCGAGCATATTTGTTCACGTGACCCCGAGGGAAGATTGTACTGATTGAGGCTGAAACTTTCACGCCATCTAGCCCCGGAGCGCAGCCAGGCCTGGGGGCTTAGAGGAGGGGCAGGAAGCGTGGGATCTGGGCCCATTCCCCGGAGCAGACACGGGTGGGCATGGAGCGGAAAGAAAGTCCCCATCTCGCTCGGGACCAACCCAGCCCCAGTCTGGCCGCCGGCAGTGGGATGGGGGCGCTGGAGTCTCTCCCCGCCACGACCTCTGACCCTGGCCCGGCCTTCCACCGGACTGGCCCACGGACTGGAAATTTTAGAGGCTGCCTCTCAGAGCCGTCTCCGGAGGCGGCTGTGGAGCATCAGAGGCCCAGGGTTCCCTTAGCTCCCCGGCCGGCCGAGCCCGGTACCTCGCATCTGCACGCACCCAGGCAAGGCTCTGCCTAGGCGGACGCACTGCTCTCCCCCTCCCGGGACGAGACAATTAGTTGTGGCACAGCGGAGGCTCCGGCCCTAAGGTGGGTGACTCCAGCTCCCAGACCAGGCCATACACCCCGGGGGAACCCCACCCCCCACTCCCACCCCCACCCTCACCACTGCTCGAGGCCTCGGCTCGTTTCGCAGACGCGGCGGCGGAGTCACCACTCCCGAGAGCCAGAAAAGGCGCCTAAGCAGCAGGCCAGACCGGTAGCGGTTTCCCCTCTCCGCGCCTTGCGCACTCCACTCGGGCGCCCGCGGCCTGGAGCCCCCGAGGCGCAGAGCCGCTGTTTGCCGAGACCTGCGCGCCTCCCAACCTGGGCCGGGCCCACGGAATCCGCAGGCCCCGCGACTGACAGGCCACGGCTTCCCGCTTCCTGCGGCGCCTCCCAGAAGGCGAGGAGCCTGCGGTATCAGTCCTGGTCGGGCTGATCGGGGAGTCAAGGGAGCTTCTGTTTAGAAATAGCACATCGGGACCTGTTCCCAGCATTCTCCAAGTGGTCGGGCAGAATTTACCGTCACAACTCTGCGTGTGAGAAAGAGTTAAGCTCCCAGCCAGGGTGAGCGACCAGCCTCTAGGTCCGAGCCTGCCAAGAGCTTCCCCCTGCCCCCGCCGCCCCATGGCCCTCTCCCGGCCCGACCAGCACCCTGGAATCCCGCACCACGCGGGAGTCTCCACCCCATCCCCGAAGCATCGTTGTCATGGCCAGTTCTGCTTCTCAGTGGCAATAGGCACGGAGCAGATGCCCTGTCACCGCTTGCAAAGTCTCCGACAGGCGAAAGCGAGCGTGAATGTGCTTGGCAGCCCCGGAAGAACCGGGGAGAAGGGGGTAAAGTCCTCCTCATCCCCCCTTCAGAAGCACAGAAGTCCCCGAGGACAGGTCACAAGCTCGAGCCCCTAGACCTGTCAGGGAGCTCCTCCTTTTGTTCACCTGGCTGGGGCTGGCTGGAGGCCCACTCGGGAGGCCTCTGGAGGCCGGACTGTAGGTGCCCCCAGCTCACCCCCACCCGGAGGTTCCTGTTCCCCAGCCTCCCGCCAGGGGCCGAGCAACGGGCCGCAGCAAGTGTTAACCTCCTGCCAAAGAGGGGGGCCGATTTGCGGGAATTTGTCTCCAGGAAAGGATCTAAGCCTTCTTCAATCGGAGCATATGTTCATAGAGCAATAAACCGGAAAGATTTACAGTCCTTGCCCGGCCCCCAACAGCCTCGCACCCTTTCAGGAATTACTTACGATGATTTATCACATCAACCCGGGCAATTGTCACACTGATAAAATAGCCCGGGCCGGTGCCCGCCAAGCCCAGGACTTGGGAGACTGCTGGCTGCCCGGCTGCCAGCGGGTCTGGGCAGGCTTTTGTGGGTTCCTCTCTGGGCCTACCAGGGTATGTTGAGGTGGGTCGGGGTGGGTGGGGTTGGGGAGGGAGGGGAGCAAATTCTCATTGAGAAAAACGCAAGCAGCTCAGAGAAAGCGCCCGGAATCTGCGTCGGAGTCGCTTGCAAAGCACATAAACATTTGTCATCTTTGAATAATTGAATTAATGTATTATTGTTTGAATGTATAATTCATAGCGGAGGAAACTTTGTCTCTATCCTGACGGGGAAATATACACAAACCAAAAAAGAAATCAAAACATACACACAATCCCCAAACAACTACCAAACACAGCCAACTCCAGCTAGCGGAAACCATCCTCAAAGCCAACGGGAGCGAAGGAGGCGAATAAAGAGGCTCTCCTCCCGGGCACCCGCCCTGAGCTGCGAGCTGGAGGAGAATGTCCGCTGCTGTCCCAACCGAGAGCCCCGGGCAAGCTGGGGGTGGAGTGGGTGGGGTGGGAGCCGAGGGGCTAGTGGGACCTCAGGGCTCCTTGGAGGGTGGGAGAAAAAAGGCTAAAATGGGAGGCGACAGGACAGACAGCCTTTGCACCACGACTTGGCCTCTCCCGCATATCCCTGCCCCAGGCTTCCTTTCGCCCCCGGGGTCTCCTACTCCAGCGGCGGGGACTTCTAACCCGTGCCTTTATTTTAGATCTTCGCCCAAATTAAAAATACAAAAATAAAGGGGAAGAAGGGGAAACTCTTTGCGGGGGTGACAGAAGCAGCAGAGCTTGGGTGGGAAAGGAGGGGAGTGGGAGAAGCAACTCGGAAATCATTATCTGTTGGTTAAAATCTGCCTGGGGTAAAATTTCAACTCGATTTTATAGCCTTCTATTATGACGCAAAGAAAAATTTACGACCCTCGCTTGAAAAGAGGGCCGGGGCCTTTTCTCACCGGTTTAAGAATAGGCAGCAGATGCCGTGACAGCGACCATTGTTCCCGGTAGACACAGGCGACCGGGCAACCTCGGCCCGCGTGCGCCAGGCGCGTCCCCCAGCCGGGCGGGTTTTTAACAACTCCTGTTGTTTCGGAGCATCTCGCGCACACCCTCGCCCCTCGCCCCCTCGCCCCTCGCACACCCCCACATGCTCACACACACCCTCTCGCGCGCTCGCAGACACACACTCGGCCGCTCTCAGTAATTTTTCATAAGTGCAAAGCTTTGCTGAACCAAAGGTCACCATCCAAGCCACTAACAACTTCTCGCCGGCGAGCGGTTCCAAATCAGGAAGCAAAGGGAACTATTTGTCAGCGGCCCTGACAGCTAAGTTCATTAAGGATTTAAATCTGAAGAAATAAAAGTCGCCAAAATATTTACCTGCTGGCCGCGCTCCCGCGCCCGCCACTGGGGGCCCGAGGGTGGAGGGCTTGGGGGCGCCGCGCGGCCCCCCTCGGCGGGTGATATTCTTGGGATCCCTGCACTTTCCAAGTCGGAGAGAGCCCTTTGCGTGGCAGATTAATGACGACTCCGTGTTTCTTAAGGGACGTGCTGAATTAATTATTTCGCCAATCACGTGGTCGGGACTTGTAGAAATCTATTCTTATCATCTTCCTCGCACTTTGAAAATTCTCGGGGTTATGAAAGGCCCTCCCCCGGCTGCCGGCGAGCCCCGGCCGCCCAGCCAGGCGCGGGGGGCAGGGAGGGCTCCCCAACATGGCGGGCGGGCGGGAAGCGCCGTCTGCCGAGGGTCCCGATTTACTGTACTGTACTCAAGCGGGCTCGGCTATGGACTCGCTTCCTCCTCGTCCCTGCCGGTGATTCAATACACACCACGGTATTGATGTATTGGTGGGCACAGGAGGAGCCATTAACCAGAAGACGGGCAGAGGACAATCATAAAATGTGTCTGAATATTTAAACTTCTGTCTGCACACTTATAAATACACATGTCCACGCGTCTGAGGCGAGCCCTTCCATATATTAAGGACACATGTCTGATTTTATGCATTCTGCTCATTTCCTGTCGCGAGCAAGCCCCCCCTCCCCAGCTATTTTGGGACTCCTGTCTTGGCCCACTCTTCAAGGCCAGGCAAAGACCAGAGAAAGCCCTCGCGTGAAAAAAAAAAAATAGCGCACGCCACTTTTTATAGTGGGGAGTGTTTATTGTCGTCTCAAGGGCGGAGGGGGCTCCAGGGGAAGGAGGGGCAGGTGCTGGAGCCCCAGTGGGGCTGAACAGCACAGGAAAAGTAGGAGTCCAAGACTGGAGGCCAGAGGGGTCTGGTCCCAGTAGCCACTGGCCAGTCCCAGCTTGGCCCAGAACCCAGCACTCTTCCAGAGTTGGTGGGGGGGTCGTGCGGGGAAGTCTCTCTCCCACCACAAAACAAAGAGAGACTGAAGGGGTCTAGGGCTAACCCGGGCCACACAGAGAGCCAACCTGGAGCCTCTTTTTAGCCTAGGAAGTTACTTATTTTCCTTTCAAAATAATAATAATAATAATAATAATAATAATAATAATAATGCCAGGCAGCCTGAATCCAAGCTTAGGCTTCTCAACGCTCACAAAATATGGTGGCCAAATGGGAGTGTGTACTTGTGGGGGAAAGGTCAATGACAGATTTGCTAACCCTAACACAGTTTAACCTTCACATGTCAGGCACAATGCAGAAAATAATAAAATAAATTGTTAATATCGAATGTTAGCTTTTAGAAGACTTAATGAAGAAGGCTTCTGTGGAGGCACCAAACAGGATGGAAGTTTCGCTACACCTTTTATTATTTCAAATATAGAGCAATGAATTACATC